AGTCATCTAACGTAGCGCTTAGTTGAACAATATGTCATCAAAAGGTGCAAACTGTTCATATTTTGTTGAGCCCAAACCTTAGTTTTTAGAGCGGCCAGTTGACTATGTTGGTTTGGGACAGCTAGGATTTACCCATGACTCTTCAACTCATGAACTGTTTCCTGCTTCTTCCTTTCTTTCAGAGGATAGTTCTGTAACCACCTTGAGTGAATGGATCCACACGCCTACTTTTTTTTTTTTTTTGCAATTTCTTCCCTCTCCATCCCACTGGTAAACATTAAGGCTATCATTCACACGTCGACACTTTTCCACTCAACTTCCATGGCGGTGCCAGCCGCGGAGACAAGCAGAAATATGAGATGCAAGCCGTAAATTCTCTGTAGGTTATGGTTCAAAAACAACCCGAGACACACAGACACATGCACAAACACACTGGGAGTAATTGGCGATTCAGTGCAAATTGCCAAGTTCACACAAGCATAGCGTGGCATTATAATGTTCTCACCCGCCGTGCATTATTCATTGCGATTCAAATGAATGGGGATTATTTTTAGCACATGACCCTCGTTGGGTGACAACGAGACCACATGCTGTTTTCTGCGATGAGCAGGAAATCTGAAATGTAGATTATTTATTGTCTGAATAAATGATGTGAACAGTATTCCCTCCTCCACGGAGCCAATATCGAGATGGTTTGACCGTAAAACAACGTGGAATTCAAACAGAAGTCAGTCCTAGATTAGGCTAAATGTTTGTTGGATGTGAGCAGGTAAGCGCTTATTTTGGGGAATGTGTTGGTTTTTAATTGGTGAAGATGAAGTCATGTGTTCACCCGACTCCCACGTTTATTTTCAATTTGTATTCTTTGCAATTCTTTTTTTGATTACTGTAATTTTTACCATCTTACTTATTTAAAATGTTATGATAGCGAGGGATCTGGGGAAATTCTGAGGCTTTTTATGCACCAATTTGTGTCTTTTCTGCATCAGTTCATGGAGAAATGTCTTCAAAGAACACAGAATTCAAGCAAAAGATCCATCCATCATCTATAATCCTCATTAGGGTCATGGGGGGCTGGAGTCTATCCCAGCTGACTCAGGGTGAAGGCGGGGGACACCTGGACAGGTCACCAGTCGATCTATAACAGGGGTGTCCAATCCTGGTCCTCGAGGGCCACAATCCAGCATGTTTTACATGTTTCCAACACACCTGATTCAAACGATCAGGGTCACTATCAGGTTTCTGCAGAGCTTGATGATGAGCTGATCATTTGAATCAGGTGTGTTGGAAGAAGGAAACATCTAAAACATGCAGGACTGTGGCCCTCCAGGACCAGGATTGGACACCCCTGATCTAGAATCACCAATTAACCTCAACATGTTTTTGGACTGTGTGGGAGGAAGCTGGAGAACCTGGAGAGAACCCACGCTGCACGGGGAGAACATGTAGAAAGATCCCAGGTGTCCTCAACGGGATGCAAACCGGCGACCTTCTTGCTGCGAGGCAACGGTGCTAACCACCGCTCCACCTTGCAGCCCAAGCAAAAGATGACAGTTCAAAATATAATGGATCATATGTGGCTCTAATTACACTTTGTACAATAGATTAAAGGTTAATAGAAGCTCATAGTTCTTATTTTGGGAGAGAGAAAAAAAGATCCAGTGCTAAAGAAGCATTGTTGTGTCTTTTTGTTATAAAAATCTACACTGAAGTGTTAAGTAACGACAAGAAAAACAGTTTATTCGCCTCAGCATGCATCTAAGTTGTGCGACATACAGTGTTTGTCCATGACCTGTGATGTCCTAAATGCAAATATATGGTAAATAAAGCATTTCCTGGCATTATGAATTTTAAAGAACCACCTGATTGTATATTTTCCAACAACCACAAACTGATCTGCAGGTTGAAGCAGAAGATGGCTTCAGTTGGACGAAACTTTTGACCTCCTCGGTTCATGATGTTGAAACTTTAGAGGATCCAGCGACAAGCTCTGACACGTGGCAATTTGTCTTTTTCCTCTCCTTCGCCTTTCGGTGATTAGAAATGCAAAGAAAGCTGCTTCTTCCAGACTTCGGCACCGAAACAAGGGATCAAAACTCTGTCAGTGAGTCAACAGAGTCCGTAAAGCCGAAGCAGAAAAGTTCTTCCCAATCATGCTTGAGCTGTTTCATTTCCCCCAGAAGGTCTCCTCATTTTTATGATAATTAATTAGGGCTTATGTTTTTTCATGTGTCCCAAATTGAAATAATAAAAAATGCTTCGGGCCAATTCTTTTTTTTTTTTCACCCTCCTCCTTTTATTACAACCTGTCTGCAGTGCAGAGAGAGAAAAAAGAAAAGCTGATTTAAAACTAACTTTTCACTTTCAATTTAAACGTGGAGCTGAATTCGAGGAACAAATAGAGAGCGCTGCACTGGGTCGGGAACAATAAAGTTGGAGGTTTAAAAGTGAAGAAAATACAAAAATTAGGTGCGCTTCAAGGATAAGGCCAGTAGCCGACGAAGATGAAAAAATAATGACTGTCCCACTTCTTGTTAATGGAAGTCCTCGGCGTTGGTCGGCAGTCCAAAGAGTAGCGGATATAAAAATGCTTTCTTTAATGCCGGGAAAGTAACCAACGTGCATACAAGTCTTGAACAGGACCCTTTACCAATTCAAAGGACTTCTATTAGAAAGAAGTCATTATTTTTCCATCTGTATGAAGGAGAGTTTGCTGGACCATGCAGGAAGTAATTCCTGTTCGCACCTCTTACCTAAATGCATAATTGCAAGATAAAAATTACTAATTTAGATAAACCCCAAACATTTTTTTGGATGGATTTGTGGTAATAATGTTGGTAATTGCATCAACTTAAAACTGTGAGCGAGTCAAACTCAAACTTTAGTTTTGGTTGATTTAAAGCTAAACTCAAGTTGCAGGAACTAAATAAAATTGACTCGATTTTTTTTCTTACTTTTCAGTTCAGGATTTCAAAATTGTGAGTTAAAGAGCCTGAAGGCTGAATGAATGTGATACAAAGAACATTTCAAGGTGAGTGTGATGACTTTTACAAATAAATTCCACTAAAGTCGTGAATTTGGGGGACATTTTCAGTCGCAATATGACCAGTCGTGGACTCACTCAACTACTAAATGCCGTCTGATGAAGCGAATTCATTTTCAAACTTGCGTCTCTAATTATTATAATTAAACACACGACACATGGAAAATTGCGTTTCGATAATGTGGAACAACTATGAGGTTGTATTTATGAGAAATCAACTCACAGACTTGTGTTTCTGCTGCCAATCCTTCAATAAGCGTTAATTAAAATGCCTTTGATTGAGGAGGAGAAGCTGTTTCTGCGAACTCACTGCAGTTTGAACACGAGTTCATTAGACGATGTCCTGACTCCGAAAGATTGACGCAAACTGTTGTAGTTTGTTTTTTGTTGAGCCCCCGCATTAGTTCTTGTACA